TGAGAACAGTGTAAGCGTTCAAGCAAACCACTTCTGAAGATGCAAGCCACTCGTGCTTGCGAAACGTCAGGAAGAAATTCCATTTTACGACGGCCCAAAAACCGATTAGTTTCAATAAAACAAGTGATCGTTTCTAGCTTGTCTTCAAAGTGCCGGCAAAGACCGTAAGGCTTATTCGCCATTGGACCAGGCGGACGCCCTGTCCCTGGAACAGGAAAATGAACGTCCGGAAAACAACAACCGCAACAATGCGCACAACAAAAACCACAGGTTGGTGCCACCCCCTCGTATAACCGCCATGATCCACTCGCGCGAGCAACCAAAAAAGTGAAGTCTGTCACTGTCACTTGCAGCTTGTCATCGGCGCTGTCACCTGCCCTGTCAAGTTCGAGCGCCATCTTGGAAATGAAACACCTATGGGACGAGTTCTACTCGTTGGGCACGGAAATGATCGTCACCAAGGCGGGAAGACGAATGTTCCCGACGTTCCAAGTGAAACTCTGCGGTCTCGATCTGCACTCCGAGTACATGTTGATGATGGACTTTGTGCCGGTGGACGACAAGCGCTATCGCTATGCGTTTCACAGGTAAAAGGGCGGACGTTTCGCCTCCAACAGCACCTGCTCAGTGCATCATCAGTTCCAGTTGGGTGGTGGCCGGCAAGGCGGATCCAGTGTCGCCGCCCCGGATCCACGTGCACCCCGACAGTCCCGCCACTGGCGCCCAATGGATGAAGCAAACTGTGTCTTTTGACAAGCTGAAGCTGACCAATAATCAGCTGGACGACAATGGCCACGTAAGCGCGCCAACTTGGGCCCTTTGAACGGGTTCTGATTAACGTTTCTGGCAGATTATCCTCAACTCGATGCATCGGTACCAGCCGCGGTTCCACGTCGTCTATTTACCCCCGAAAAACGTGCAGTCTGAGGAAAACAGCAGCGAAAACTTCAAAACTTTCGTGTTCCCGGAAACCTCCTTCACCGCAGTCACCGCCTACCAGAACCACCGGGTACGTCAACTTTTGACACTGACAAGTGACAATGACTGACAAGTGACAGCAGGTGCTAATGATCGCGTTTTTTCCAGATCACTCAACTGAAAATCGCCAGCAATCCGTTTGCCAAAGGCTTTAGAGACTGCGATCCAGATGACGGGTAAGTGATCGATTTTATAGACGAGGGCCGCGCAAAAAGTGCGTGCTGCTCTTAGACAAAGTGCCGTTCGAAAAGATACCCGACGGCCATCGGGGATATTTATTTAAAAATCGCTCCTTACTGATGTGTTTATTGGTTTTGAACCGAAATAGAGCGGCGCAACCGAGCGGGATTTAAAAAGTCGAACCGAATCAAAATAAACACGTCATAATCTTAATCGGATTCCCGAGATCTGGTCAGATTTATGAACGGCAAATATTTGGACGTCGAGCCTGATTGGTGCGACGCCCAAAAACAACACCGGAACCCAATTAAGCCGTCGGCTAAACCGTTCGGGTTGTCGATGGTAGTGAGTTGCATTGGGCGCCATCTAGCCAACAGTAAATCCCCAAAAACGAAAAAATCCGCAGGCTTCGATAAGCAGGAGATTGGGCATTTGTGTACGTGAAAAGGCCGCCGATAGGATCTGTTTTCAATCAGGCGCGCAACTTTGGACTTGAAACACTTTCAATAAATTCCCGATCGTTTACGAAAGATAAACGATAAAATAAATAAAATCAATCGTCGTCGCACGGCAGTTTAAAATCGGCTCGGAATTTTGAAACGATCGCCGACCAATTGCTGTTGGACGGTTTATGCGTTTCGCTAAATAGACGGGATATGTAAATTTCAAAATTCGAAGTTTATTAAGGATTAGTATATATAATTTTATCGAATTTATTAACATAATTCAGCCGCGATTAAACATACACGATTCAGGGCGTCGGCAATTTTGCGCACGCAAATCGCAGCCTGTAAAGCATTTTGAATCATCCTGGTAGCGCAAGTGTGATTGATCAAAGTAGCACGGTTGGCATGGTAACGCGATCCAAACGGCCAAATACTAGGGACGAACTGCACGGTTCCGGATCGCATCTACCGGGACCGATAAAAAATGGAACAGCTGTTGGTGTGCAAAAAACTACCCTATTTCGCTTTTTAAGAGACGAAATTTTTGGCGTTAAAAATGGGTTTTCTGCTCGATCTGGCCACTCGAGATAGCCAATCGAACAATGACACAGTTGAAGCACTTGACTGTATCTGGTCTGAAACAATTAAGCCACTTTCAAATATGTCATCGCAATCGAACTCGTTGAAATGGAAGGAATTCAAGTTCAGAACGAATTTTGCTCATAGGAACGCCACTGATGTTCTGGCTAAATTCGCACTCTGTCGAATCCCAAAGTCACTTTTTGCCTAGACAGTCACTGAAAAACCCCAAAACTCATCCAGCAGTTGGAGGCAATTTTAGCTAGAAAGCCGAAATAAATTGTCTGGTTCTCTTAATCAGATCCCTTGTTTCGACTTTTATCTGTTTCCGAATGCTGTGCAATATACTTGAAAATCGGCATAAAAATATGTTGATCGGTGAATGTAGCAATTTCGAACGCAGTCACGCGCACGCCATCTGAATGCTCCTATGAACCCCTAGTGTGCGAGCGAGACAACCGCTGTCAGCCACGTTCCCGAACAGTACAGTCAGTGCTGTTTGAATTATATTCGGATCAGGTGGTTTGTTGCATTTTTGGTCAAAATCATGTTCAAACCAGTTTTAGTGCGATCCTAGTTCCTTGGGAACTTAATGACATTATTACTTATCATTTTGATTAATTTTCCTGACAATTGTTATATTTTTTTCCTTCCTGGATTTCAGTCAGTGTGAAATAAAATTTTTCATGCCGTTTATTTCATAACATTTCGGCGAGACAACAGCGCCATCATCAGATTTACGCTACGCAGGCAAATGTAGACAATAATTCGAACAAATTTGAGGTTTCAAGACAGCAAAGACCTAAAAGAATCTAATATTTCCCAAGTATGCGTTTGTATTAATTTTAAATCTGATGATGGCGCTGTTGTCTCGCCGAAACGTTTTGAAATAAACGATATAAAAATTTGGGCCCAATTCGGTGGCCAATAAATCGGGGAAAACTGCGTAGTGTAATACCGGCGCAATAAAAATTGTATATTACCCGCTTAATCACGTATTAACTGATATGACTTCAACGTTATTAGGGAGTTTTTCGGCCCCTTAATGCAACACGTTTTACGTTATCCGTTATTCTGAGCATGCGCATTAGTAAAGAAATAACCGTTTACGTGATTAGATGATAACGTGTTCCTTTATTTACGTACGAGTAGCGGTAGCGTTGAAAAACGCACTTAACGTTAATTGCCTGAACACTGGGCATGATCAGAATAACGTTTAGCGTTTAAGGCCAACGTAATTTTAAGAGACCCAAAAACTCTCTATATCATATGGCAACAGCGCGACATTTTAAAGGGCCAAGGCCAGGACTGGACTGAGATGAAAGCAATTTGGCCGACTGCGACCTTCTGCTTCACACTCTCGAAACCGACCCACTTCAGACCCATGATTGATAAACAACCGACAGGGAAACGTCAACAAAAATTGATACGCAGCGAAAAAAATCGAATATAATTTTAAAAAATCAGTTGGCAATCAATCCAAGCCATGCAAGTCCTTATTAGTAGTCGATTCCAAGGCCAGCCACGTCGTTCCGCGGTCACGTCGAATCGCACCTGCAAAACGCCGCAAACACCTTGTAGTTCTTCGCGTAGTCGCGCTCGACTGGCAGATGGAGCCGATCAGAAGCCATCAGAGCGGCCCCCACTCCCATCTCGGTGCTCAGTCTGAGCAGCGTGAGCCGCTGAAGGTCGGTGCGCTCCTGCAGGTAGGCGTTGAAGCCGCCCTGCAGCAGATCCCAGCTGAGCCACACCGAGCCCACGCAGATCACCTGCAGGCCGCCCTCTTGCTCTGTCAGCTCTTGGGCGGCTTGGCGCGCCACTGCCGCGATGCCCTTCGCGAGGTCGGCGCCCGCCTGCTTGAAGATGTGCCGCGCCAGCAGGTCGCCCTCACGCGCCACTTGCGCCACACTTTTGCACAGAAGCGCGATCCGCGACTTATCAAAGTTCTTGTAAAACGAGTCCAGAATGTCCGCCTGGCTGCGGATCTGGAAGAACTGCTGGACGAGCCCCCAGAGACGCCCACTGGGGTGGGGCGGCGCTTCGAACTTGTCCATGTCATTGAAGCAGTACTTGACCGCCTGCCAGCTGATGTGCCAGGCACTCCCCTCGTCCCCCAGCAAATACCCCCATCCGCCGCACTGCACTTTCTGGCCATCGGGGTTGATGAGGAGCGTGTTCGAGCCGGTTCCAGCGATGCAGACGACACCGCCCTTGTTGCTGATGGTGGCAATCGAGCCATCAGTGTCGGAGCCGACGGCGTATCGGCGCGCCAGTTGCGGGTGGGCCTCAATCAGCCCTTGCACGAGCTGCTGATTGGACTCCTCCAGCTGGCAGCCGCTGAGGGAGAGGCCGAGGGCGGCAATCGGACTGTCCAGGGCGATGCCCGCCTGCTGCTTGGCCCGATTGACCAGCTCGGCGATTCTCGTGCGACATTCCTCCATGCCGATCAGGTAGTGGTTGGTGCCCGCCCCTTTGGCAGTGGCCACCACCTGCCCCTGGGGGTTCAGCAGCACCACTGTCGAGTTGGACGCGCCCCCCTCGATGCCGCCCACGATTTCGCTGGCCATTTCACACTCACTAACGCGAACAAATCACTCACTCACTTACAACGTGAACCGTCACTCACTCACTGACAACAGTCCAACGCTACAACAAACAAACAGGCCTTAGTGGGGCCGCTCGAGCTCACAAACCAACAACATCAATCCTCGTACTGTATCGTAAATGCGAATTGTTTGGGGCTTGATAACAACAGACCGACCGCACTCTCCAGTAAGGTTATATTAATAGGAGCGCTTCTGATTAAGGAAGCAGTGGCGTCCGCTTCTCTTCGCTTCACTGCGTTGGTGAACTCGTCCATTGGCGCTCCTATTCTTCCTCCGCTTACAGCATCCAAGTGGTTCGGAGTTTTGATTGTTTCTGTGCACACCTGGCAACCCTAAACGCCAGCAGGGATTTGTGACGTCACACGAGAGGAGCTCGATTCTCGCGTCCCTAATGCCCGTGGTTTTTTTTTATTATTAATAAAATTAATTGTATATACTTTCCTGACTGTGTTTCAATTCCAAATCAAATTCATTCCTGGGTTTCAGTCATTTATTATCAATCAAAATACGTTTCGGTGTATTTTTCCACCATCATCAGTTTTTATGTGTAGCGTTGTT